TGCGGCACACACTTGTGAAAATGGGCAACATCTGAAACCCAGTTCTTGTGTTAACAGCAATTTTCCGATCTTTTTGCTGTGAGTTTGATTTCTAGTATCTCTCTGGACCCCCCCAACCCTACCGCCGTGTGTCTTAGTTTTCTCTAGGGAAGATAGAAAAATAGCATGTCTTTTCCTTTTCTCCTTTTTGTGATTACCATACCTGAGAAATTAAAATTGCTTTATAGGCAGCAGACATCTTATGGACCATGTTCGCAAGACCGGCATGTTAGAAAGCGCCTCCTCCCCATTCTTGCCCACCAAGGAACACAGAGCCCTGGTGGGAGAGCAGCCCCCTTTCCTCGCACTCTCTGCACTCGTCTCCCCTGCCCAGCACCAGGTACTTCCCTTCCTCACCAGAGTCCCCTCCTGCTTCTCGACCTATCTCGAGTCTCATTTTCTCCACTCACATCCACCTTAGTCAGCGTATTCTTCCCAAAGCATAGCTGTGGTCAAACTGATTTGACCCCAGAACTTTCCCTGCCCACCCCCCTGCCCGCCTCACATGCTGAACAAGGCATGAGCCCCCACCCCCAAAAGTAAGCCCTTTCCCAGAGAGGCCCTACGCCTCCTTTCAAGCCTTCCTTTTGTAATTTCTCTTCAGTGATCCATCAAACCCTTGACACCTTTCACATTTCTTTTAGGGAACTTAACCATGTACCAGGCATTGTGCTGGGATCACAGACAAAACAAGCTAAAAAATAACCTGGATTGCCTTCAAATTATTGAGGGTCTAGTGTGGCAGATGTGTGATAACAATATTCGATGGTAAGTATCATGATGGATGAATGTGTAGGTTTCCAGGGGAGTGTGGAGGTAGGGGCATTCAACCAACCCAGAGCAATCAGGGACAGCTTCCTAGAAGAGAAGATGTATCTGTTGGTCTTAAAGAAAATCAGCATTTCCTGCCTCCCAAGTAGCCCTGCCTGCCTTCTTCCTTGCGTATGTGTTTTCTGCGAGACTAAATGGCCGTGTCTTATCCACACCTGAAATTTATTCTTGGTTCAAGACTCATTCAAATGCCACCCCCTCATTGAAGAATCATCTCTGGATTCCCCAACCTGAAGAGAACCCCCCCTTTTGACTCCTGCTGGTATTCTGCCCACAGTCTCGCCCTGCGGCTCTTTATCTTATCTCACCCTGCCTTTATTACAGTGCTTTTACAACATTATCTCAACATCTGCAACCTTATGTTTTACTCATTCTTGTCCCAGCATAGAACTTTATATGGCTGCCCTGATGGTGTTTGAGTTAATTGCTTTGCATTTATGCCCCCCTAAAGAGGACAAGGAGCTGCCCAGGATGCCCAGGATGGATTAGAATGAAAGGGGGAGCCAGGCTTGCTGAATTAGCTCAGGGCTCAGGCCTTATCAGGCAGGCTGAGGTCATGGATGGTCACTGTGTGGCTCAGAGACTGTGGCCATGTGCTCTGGACTCAGGCGAGGCCCAACATCCATCTTTCAACTTTAGGCTGTTGGTCACAAAGCCTATGGATATGCAGGAGAGTGCAGAGGGCTGGAGGAAACAGAGAATGGGGGGAAGGCAGCTTCAGTGTCAGGAAACCAGGATTCCAGGGCCCTGTGTCACTTTCTGTTGAGTCACTTCAGAGATCTTTGCCTTGGTTTCCTCAGTTACAAAAGATTGGTCTCAGATTAAGGGATCTCCCTAACTCAAAATAGTACAAACTATGATGGCAATGGCTAAAATCACTCACTTTTATCTGGGGTACAATGTGTAAATTCTAATTTGAAAAGTGGCTGTCCCTGTGGTCACATGACATGGCCCAGCTTCCTCTGTCCTTTGACTCAAACTGGAAATATCTTTTCAGTTGTTGGCTGGGTATTGTGCTCTTTTGGTCAAACACTGAGAGAACATCAAGAGGAAATGCCACATTTCACAGCTTCGATGACAACTGGAAGCTCATCCCTGCCCACCGGTCACATGGTTTTGAGAATAGGCTACGAAAGGCTTCACCTCAATATATTTCAGGTGGTTTGTCCCAGAGAGAGTTTGTAAGCAGGGAAGCACATTCTGAAGGGCATGAAGAGCTTCTGAAACTGTCATTAGCAGTTCTTCTCAATGCTCACTTTAATGAAATGATGGCAGTGACATAAGGAAAAAAATAACGGCCCAATCTTTGCGTTTTGTAATGAATAATAAAGTACTTTAACCACTTCAGGGACTTAACACCACGTTAATCCTTTAATCCCTAGAAAAACCAATTTTGTTGACATAAAAAGGGGATATTTAACTTCATCCAATTAATTTTCTACCTTAGAGATGCCGTGATTATGAAGATTAGATTGAATAGATTCATTAGAGCTACCATATTGCTTGTTAAGTAGTGGCTTTGACACCAAAAAGTAGCCTCAGAGAAGAAATTCTATGTCTCGATTTTGTTTACATTCGCCCACTGTGAAATGCCAGGGTGTTGAGGCCTTCAGGTCTTAGCACTGTGGCTCCCGCCAAAGTGCTGACATCTGCAACTACTCAGCCACCACGCAGCCAGTAAAGCAGCAACTTGGCTGACATTCCTGCAATACCACCTCCCTCTCTCTGTGCGAGTTCCCAATGAGAGCTGTGCCTGCAAGGAGATTGAACTGCATGCCGCAGAAACATTCCGAACAGTAAAAAGTTAGCAAAGTGTGAACTCAATTTTAAATTACTCAGCATGGGGAAGCACACCATTTAAATGGTTCTCAGAACAATGGATTGGAATTGGAGATGGAAGATAAATGGTTAGAGATTTAATTATTTTTGCATTGGACTTCAACAGCCAGACATGGGAAGGTTTTAATTCTACTCCCACCCCGAGCCCCCAGCCAGAATTGAATTTATTGGGCTGAAAGAGAAGGGACGATGAAAAGTGAGGGCTCTTGCGGTGCCACAAGTATTTCAGTGGTGTCCCTGGACTCTCCTAGCTAAAGATAGTCTCTTGAAGAAGAAAAAATATGTGGGAAATGTCAGGGTGATCTGTCACTCTTACTCCTGCAGCCACTTTCAGTAGATGTTGCTGACCCTGTCTTTCATCCAAGCTGCAGAGCCGGGGCCGGCGTTATGCGTTAGCATCCCTTCTGGGTCTTGCTAGTGCTTGGCGTTGTCTATCACAGTGCTTTCTACTGGAATGACATGGTATGACTACCAAAGAGTGACACTTACGTTCTCTATGTGACTTGCAAGGGAACGTGGTACCACAAACAAATGGGAAGCTTTGGAAACAGCCTGGAATCTGAATCTGTGTCCTATTACCCTTCAGCTCTCTAGCTTTGGACACATTGCTTGACTTGTTTTACGACTTGGTTATCTCATTTGTTCAATGAGAGAACAGTGCCAGCCTCTTAGAGTTTTTACAGAGTTCAACTCTGTAAGGCAACAGGATAATAAAAACCCAGACAGAGGTGGAGGGTAGACTCTAATTTACTTTCCCCCACCATGAGGAAATTAATCT